ACAACATGAAAATACAGAAACTTCATCAAAGAAAGAAAACTATCAAAGAAGTCTACTTCCAGCAAAACTGAGGTAGCACTGCTTTCTCTGCATTCAATGCTTGAGTGGTTCTCAGTATGTGTTCTTAAAAAATGCTCCTTTGACTGACAGGTGCAGCATGTTGATGGATAAAGTCAACATGAAATGCAATCGGTCAAAGAAGGAATGAGCAAGAAGTGAGGGAAATCAGAGTTCTGCATAGATTAGCTTAAAAGGGGGTTGTCACCAGACTACAAATGCTCTTGGCTGGCCTTGGCTCTCCAAGAGCTCTAAATCGCCTGGAAATTAATGCAATGTGATTAACAGTTAACACTCCTATTCAAATCTGTGTAGATATTTAAAAATAATTATTACTGGCTGGGGGCGGTGGCTCACGTCTGTAATCCCAGCACTTTGGGAGGCCGAGGCGGGCGGATCATGAGGTCAGGAGATCGAGACCATCATGACTAACATGGTGAAACCTCGTCTCTACTAAAAATACAAAAAATTATCTAGGCGTGGTGGTAGGCGCCTGTAGTCCCAGCTACTCGGGAGGCTGAGGCAGAAGGATGGCATGAACCTGGGAGGCGGAGCTTGCAGTGAGCCAAGATCACGCCACTGCACTCTATCCTGGGCAACAGAGCAAGACTCTGTCTCAAAAAAAAATTTTTTTATTGCAACCTAATTTCAACCATGTAAATAGCACTACACACAGTACAGACCTGCCCTGAGAAACAATATGCAAAACTGAGACCTGGCACTGTATCATTTTATAATGTTTTTTTTTTGTTTGTTTGTTTGTTTTTTTTGAGACGGAGTCTTGCTCTGTCGCCCGGGCTGGAGTGCAGTGGCGCGATCTCGGCTCACTGCAAGCTCCGCCTCCCGGGCTTACCCCATTCTCCTGCCTCAGCCTCCCGAGTAGCTGGAACCACAGGCGCCCGCCACCTCGCCCGGCTAGTTTTTTTTGTATATTTTTTTTTAGTAGAGACGGGGTTTCACCGTGTTCGCCAGGATGGTCTCGATCTCCTGACCTCGTGATCCACCCGTCTCGGCCTCCCAAAGTGCTGGGATTACAGGCTTGAGCCACCGCGCCCGGCCCATTTTATAATGTTAATCCACCCTAACGGTCCCATCCCCTCTCCCTGCTCTATGCCCTCCCCTACCAAAAAAAAAAGTCTAATTTGTGCAAGAAATGGCAGGCTTATTCTATCTGAAGGCTTCAAAAAAAGATAACATGTAGGCAGGTTCAAATACTTTGGGAGATTCCCCCCAAAAAAGAAATAATCAAAATAACCAAAAAATGAAGAAAGTGCCTAAAACATGATACAGCATTTTAGAGCCCTTTCAGATACAAGGCAGAGAAAGGTGTGTTGGGAGAAAAGCTGACTGTTGGGAAAAAACGCTGAGGCAGGGCTTGCATGTCTGACACAGTGTAAAAGAGTCTTGGAACATGTACTGGGTCCAGGGTCTAAAACCCCTTGTGGCCTCTGGAACACCAAGCTCTGTACTAAAGGGTGGAAGGCTGCCCTGCCGCACCATAATCTAAGCCCAGGGCATAAAACCCCTCGTGGCTTGGATGGAATCCAGGGCTCGGCGTAAAACCCCTTGTGGCCTCTGGAATGTGTCTAGACTTGCTGGCTCCTTGCTTCTAGCACTCCCAGGCTCATAGATCAATTGTATCTTAAACTAGAAGAACATGCTTCCCATTATCTCAAGTAGCAGAACATGTTCCATATGCTTCAAAGAAAATGTTAAACTGTCTCAGCTGTAGATCATGTGCTTGATAAACGACTTTCTTCCAACCCCTACGTCCTCACCACCTGCTTTGTTTGATCTCCAGTAAATAGTGCCGGCTTCCAGAGCTCAGGGCCTTCGCAGCCTCCATACCGGCGTTTACCCCCTGGTCCCACTTTCACTCTTGTCTTTTCTCATTCCTTTGACTTCACCAGACTTCGTAGCCCCCACGGCCTGGGGTTGAGTCTGATCACTCCAACAGAGGTGTAAAGTAGAAAATATCCAGATCTTCAGTAGTTTCCCAAAAGGTTCAATTTCTCGGCCACAGGGCAGCAGGCAGATCCTTGCTGCTGTGCCTGGGACAGAGCCACTAAGTCTGCTCCTCAGGACACAAGCCCTTGGGCCCTGAGCTGAGTGCACCTCTCCCTTTCTCTTCTCTTTTCCTTTGCTCCATTTCCCACTCCACAAAGGTGTCAAAGAGACTTGGCCAGGCCTCATCTTCACTGTGGTTGTTGCTGAGGTCAGGGCCAATCACCTGAGTGAAGTTAAGGAACATGTTCCAACTGTCCCAGGAGATGGCCTTGATCCTCAAGGGGTTCTCTGTTAGGAAGTTTAGCCATTGGTCCAATACCAGAGAATTGTTCTGGGTAGAGACTAGTTTCCACAGGACAATGGTTATTTGCCGATGCAGTGACCACTGCCCTTCTTCAGAGTCCAGGCCAAACTGAAATGTAAACTGGTAGAGATCCTTGACTTTATCCTCTAGTTTGGCTTCTGTTAAGAGGCTAGGGAACCGTGCACAGATTCTGTCACTGCTGTCTGCGCTTAATGCTTTGCAGCCATCAAAAAACTCCTTTCTGGTGAATTTGCAAATGGTTGCAGCCTGGAACTTCCAAGCCAAGAGCAGCACTCAAAATTCTGTGGGGTCGACACATAGGTCATTGCAAAAGCGCTCCATGCCTTCCTCCAAAATTGCATCTTCCTGCTCATTCTTGTAGCACCTGAACAGTTCTTCCAACCCCTGCAAGGAAGACTCCTCAACATTGGACTTGGACTCCCTCCCAGCATCTCCCGAGGACTCCCGGGATGTCAGCAGCTGGCAGGCCTCAGTGGCAGCCTCGGCCTTCTTGGTCCTGTTGATGAGGCTATCTCCACTTGGCTTGCCACAGAGTGGTACTTGCTCCTCACAGTGGCCTGCACCCAGCTACTCTGTGACTCGTTGCTGGGGTCATGGTCTGCATTCTTGCTGCCCAGGGTGGATGAGGGATTCTTAAGCTTGGTTACACACTGGCCCATGGTGCTGGTGGCCTGGCCTCTAGAGTGGCCCCCTCTGGATCGGATACCCTCGCTTCCGCTGGCCCATGTACCTCAACATGCCATCAGTCAGAGGAGCCAGCCAACAGCTGCTCCAGAGGTTCCTCCAGTCGAACCCTTTCTGGAAACAACAGTGGCCTGGTGGGTCCAAACCACCTACCATTCCCACTGGGGTTTCCAGGCTCCTTACCCCCGCCGCGGCTGCCTTTTCTTCCACCACTGCCACCGCCTCCTCTTCATCTGCCAAGTTTTTGCCTTTTAATAGGGAAAGTGAACCATTGATGTTTGTCACTATACGTGTGTTAAGTATTTTTCTGGTTATTTATGCTTATTATGTGATCTTACTTCCTTTATTCTCCTTTCTTTACATTTGTTGAACATCTGATGATTTTCTTAGTTCCCTTTTTCCTTGGATAAAATGAAAATTCTGTACTTTTCCTGAAAATACTTGGCAGTGATTTTTTATATATTTTTGTGACTTGAAATATTGATTAAATAAAAATTAGGGAGAAAATAATAAGAAAGGAAGGGAGGGAGGGAGGGAGGAAGGACAGTGAACTCTGTGCCTGAGTGTTGACACTTTTTCTGGAGTTCCTAGTCTTGGATATGAAGTACACAAATTTCTTGGAAATCGATGTGCCCTCTCTCTCGTATTCAGTCCTCCTCTCTCTACTGCAGTTGACCCTTAAATAACACAAGTTTGAACTACATAGGCCCACATTGATGTGGATTTCTTCCAATAAAAGTTACAATGCGTGTGCCTGCTTCTCCTGCCACCTGCTGTACCTTTGCTACCCGAGACAGCAAGACCAACCTCTCCTCTTCTTCGTCCTCCTCTGCCCTCTGTATGTGAAGAGAAAGACCTTTGTGATGATCCACTTCCATTTAATGAGTATACGTGCAATAACTGTTACGTTATTAGTAAGGCTTCCAGTCAACAGCAGGCTATTAGGAGTTAAGTTTTGGGGGAGTCAAAAGTTATACATGGATTTTAGACTGTGAGGGAGGTTGGTGTCCCTAACCCCCATGTATTCAAGGGTCAGTTGTACTTTCTCCCTTTTCCTTGTTTACATATCAGAATGCTCTCTGTCCTTAAATGATGAAAACCTTTTCTATTGCTTTATTTCTATTACCTATTCTTATTTCCATAGTCTCTCATCTTCTTTACAAAAAGTTTTAAGTAATTTATCTGGCCAGACACAGTGGCTCAATCCTGTAATCCCAGCTCTTTGGGAGGCAGAGGCAGGCAGATCACTTGAGGTCAGGAGTTTGAGACCAGCCTGGCCAGCGTGGTGAAACTCCATCTCTACCAAAAATACAAAAATTAGCCAGGCGTGGTGGGCGCCTGTAATCCCAGCTACTCAGGAGGCTGAGGCAGAAGAATTTCTCGAACCCAGGAAGGGGAGGTTGCAGTGAGCCGAGAATGTGCCACTGCACTCCATCCAGCCTGGGCGACAGAGAAGACTTGGTCTCAAAAAAATAAGAAAGAGAAAGGAAAGAAACAAAAGGAACAAGGGCTGGACTGTGACTGTATGTGGCTGATAAATTGCTATCGACCTCATCTGTTCCGTGTCAAGTGTCCTGTGTTTGGTCATCATGTACCATTTAGGGCAGAGATTCCCTCCTTCACCAGTGGGGTGAATAGGAGGTTATCACAACACCACTCCCTCCTCTCCCACGGGAATCTAGAGCAGCCTTTCGTGCCTTTCCCTTTTTCTCACTTATACCTACTCTTCCTGTCCTTACCTCCCAAAACACTTTTTATATTATGTCTCTGGTTATTTCATGATTCGTTGCAGACATTTTCTTCCATTTGGAGGGCAGCATATTTTCTCACACAGATCTTCGTGCCCTGTCCTTTTAGTGCTGCTGGGCTTTTCACTTCCCTCAGAGGGTTTTGTTGGCATAATCCCTTATTGAGGAGGAATTTTTAGTTTCAGGAGTCAGTGACCTTCAAGGATGTGTCTATAGATTTCTCTTGGGAAGAGTGGATTCAAGCAGATTCTTCTCAGAGGATGACCATGTATGGGGAGGTGATGCTGGAGAACTACAGGAACCTGTTCTCACCGGGTAAGGACTTCTTATAACTCAAAACCCACCTCTTCACACCTTTCCCCCTCAATCCTTTGTGACCTCTGAAATTTATGAATTTGGACTCGAAATCCCTGATCATAAGGCATTGTTTTAGGGTGTTTGCTTGGTGTCCTCTCTTTCAAGGTGGAAGACTGAAATTTTCTGTAGAGAATGGAAAATGGGGAACTTCATAAGCCACACCTTCCTTGTTTCAGAAGCCATGAAGGAGAAAGGATCAGATCTGTGCCTGTCTCTTATACACATCTAGATGTGTATAAGAGACAGCAGTTCAGAACCCAAAGTTAATGTCTTTCCTCTCAAGCAGGAAATCACCTTTCCAAACCCAGTGTGACTTCCCAGCTGGAACGAGAAGAACTGAGCCTGATGAAAACAGAACTGCCTGACGGTGGCCTTCCAGGTAAGTGCCAGGCTGCACAGACTTGTTACATGAGTGTGTCTCTTGGAGGAAAATCACTTCAGAGATTGTTGGGTCTCTGGAGAGACCAGAGCTGCTGGATGTGTGTTCTCAGGTGACACCTCCGCATTACTGATGGGCCTCATTTCTCTAGGGCTCCCTTATGTCATCTTGCAGGGAGGTGGTGGATTATGAGGAGTAAATGAGTTGTTACATTGATGGCAGTTACCCACTGCCTGGAACATACTGAGCATTTGGTAAATGTTAGCAACCGCTATGTCCTCTTCTGTCTTCCTCTGCACTCTGAATACAATCCCTGTCTTTACACATCTTCTCTGGGCTTGTACTCTCTTTCATGAGTGTTTCCTCAACCGTAACGTATATGCATAGCTTCCTTTCCTTCATTCATGTAAACATCTGTAAGCTTTTTCTCCTTCAAAGGAAACTAACATTTCTCTTCCTCTGCGTTGTGTGAGAGAGTTTTATACAGTCTTCATTTAAAAACATGAAAAATGATGTTAGCCTTGTTTTCATTGCTAGCAGCCTTACATTGTATATACTTTCTTTCTCATTCCCAGAATTCTAATCTGCATTACTACCCATTCAATGCCATTTACCTCAAAATGTTGAATGCTTCTTTATCTTTGTTATCTGGTTTCTAATCCTTATCACAACTTAAGTTTCTGTTTTAGGTGTTATTACTGACTTTTCTCTGCAAAAAAAAAAAAAATGCATTTTACATCTTTGTCTTCTCTACCATGTGCAAAAGTACCAATCATGTATTTTTTTTTTTCTTGAGATGGACTTTTGCTGTGTCACCCAGGCTGGAGTACAGTGGTACAATCTCAGCTTACTGCAAGCTCTGCCTCCCGGGTTCACGCCCTTCTGCTGCATCAGCCTCCTGAGTAGCTGGGACTACAGGTGCCGCCACCACACCTGGCTAATTTTTTGTATTTTTAGTAGAGACGGGGTTCCACTCTGTTAGCCAGGATGGTCTCGATCTCCTGACCTCGTGATCTGCCTGTCTCGGCCTCCCAGAGTGCTGTGATTACAGGCATGAGCCACTGTTCTCAGCCCCAATCATTTCTTTATATGTATGTTTTTAAATTAAAGAGATAGGCAAATATTTAATCTCTAGATAGTATAAAGCTGTCTAAGGTAAAGCAATGAAAGAAATAATTAAAGGAACACAATTATAGGGAAAACCTTGCCCACAACCATCACTGCTGGTTTCCCGTAAGTTTTTTAAAGAATGGGATTCTAGGAGAGAAATCACTGGGTCAAAGGATATATCCTTTTTTTTTTTTTTTTTTTTGAGACAGAGTCTTGCTCTGTCGCCTGGGCTGGAGCGCAGTGGTGCGATCTCAGCTCACTGCAAGCTCTGCCTCCCGGGTTCCTGCCATTCTCCTGCCTCAGCCTCCCGAGTAGCTGGGACTATAGGCACCCACCAGCACACTTGGCTAATTTTTTTGGTATTTTTAGTAGAGACGGGGTTTCACCGTGTTAGCCAGGATGGTCTCAATCTCCTGACCTTGTGATCCACCCGCCTCGGCCTCCAAAGTGCTGGGATTACAGGTGTGAGCCACTGTGCCCGGCCAAATATATCCATTTTTTATGACCTTGCTACATATTTTACTGCTTTAGATACTATTTTGTGTTGAATGATAATTTCTTTATTATAAAATGAAAGGTAGTGTTACTTTTATTACAGATTTCTATGGATTTTCTTACTATTGATATTTGTATTTGTCCTTATGTAAATAACCTATGTATTCATGTATCTATTGAGTACTATTCTTAGCACTGGGACTTCAGCAATAAGCACAGCAGGCAAAGTGTTTTTGAAGAGCTTATATGCTCATAGAGGAGACAATAAACTAATAAAGGAAGAAGGAAGGGAGGGAGGGACAGAAGGGAAAGGAAAGGAGGCAGGAAGGGAGGAAATGAATATAACACAGTGATAGGTGTGGTGTGGAAAAATAAAGCAGCATAAGGAAACTACGTTAGTTAACTGGAGTGTGATTTTACAGGTTGGTCAGGAAGGGCCTCTCCTTTAATGTGACTTTTGAACAATACTGAAAGTGATGGGCCATGTAGGACAACATTGAGGACCTAGGGAACAGCAGGTGCGAAGGCCCTGAGGTAGGAGATTGCGTGGCATTGTTTGAAGGGGAGAGTGCTAAGAGATACAAAGATTTCTGTAAACCTTATCTTTCAGTCCTTCTGTAAAAAGATCTGTTTGTACTATCATTTTTAAATTTCTGTGAGCCACTTTCTCATTCTCTCAGTGTTCTTCTTAAATGGCAGTCTTTCTAATGCACGCACTAACTTCACTCATCTGTTTGAGAATATTTCGTTTTTCTTGTTTCTGGTTCTCTGGTATGTATGTGCAGCAGTTTTTTCCGTGTTCCCTAGATTATTTTATTTATGCCATTTTCATCGCTTATTGTCATTCTGGTGGGTTTTCTGGAAGCAGCAGAAGCAAACACATATGTTTTGATACTGTGTTTTCATCTCCCACTTCTTTACCCCCTTCGTGCTTCCCCACCAGGTTAGAACCTAAAGGTTTTCACTTTTTTTTTTTTGGAAGATGCAGTCAGGCTGGAGTGCAGTGGCGCAATCTTGGCTCACTGCAACCTCCACCTCCCGGGTTCAAGCAAATCTCCTGCCTCAACCTCCTGAGTAGCTGGAACTACAGGTGCACACTGCCACACCTGGCTAATTTTTTGCATTTTAGTAGAGCAGGGTTTCACTGTGTTGTCCAGGCTGGTCTGAGCTCAGGCAGTCTGCCCGCCTCAGCCTCCAAAAGTGCTAGGATTATAGGCATGATAGCGGGGAAACCAGCCCCCAGTATTTCAACATAGGTTCTTTTCTATTTTGCCTAAGTGTCGGCCGGTCTGAGAAATAAAGGGAAAGAGTACAAAAGTGAGAAATTTTAAAGCCAGGTGTCCGGGAGTGACATTACATGTTGGCAGGTTCTGTGATGCCCCCTGAGCCGCAAAACCAGCAAGTTTTTATTAGTGATTTTCAAAGGGGAGGGAGTGTACGAATAGGGTGTGGGTCACAGAGATCACATGCTTCAAAGGCAATAAAATATCACAAGGCAAATGCCAGGGCAAGGTCACAAAGCCAGGATGAAACTAGAATTGCTGATGAAGTTTCATGTCCCACTGTGCACGCATTGTCATTGACAAACATCTTAACAGGAAACAGGGTTCAAGAGCAGAGAACCGGTCTGACTAGAATTCACCAGGCTGGAATTTCCTAATCGTAGCAAGCCTGGGGTGCTGCAGGAGACTAGGGCATGTTTCATCCCTATCTACATCTGCCTAAGGCAGACACTCCCAGAGCGGCCATTTCAGAGGCCTCCCCCTGGGAATGCATTCTTTTCCCAGGGCTGTTAATTATTAATATTCCTTACTGGGGAAAGAATTCAGCAATATTTCTCTTACCTGTTTTCGGCAATAAGAGAAACATGACTCTGTCCTGCCTGGCTCCCAGGCAGTCAGACCTAATGGTTATCTCCCTTGTTCCCTGAACATGGCTGTTATCCTGTTCTTTTTTCAAGGTGCCCAGATATCATATTGTTCAAACACACATACTTCACAAACAATTTGTGCAATTAACGCAATCATCACAGGGTCCTGAGGTGACATACATCCTCAGCTTACAAAGATGACGGGATTAAGAGATTAAAATAAAGACAGGCATAGGAAATGATAAGAGTATTGATTGGGGAAGTGATAAATGTCCATGAAATCTTTACAATTTATGTTTAGAGATTGCAGTAAAGACAGGTGTAAGGAATTATAAAAGTATTAATTTGGGGAACTAATAAATGTCCATGAAATCTTCACAATTTATGTTCTTCTGTCATGGCTTCTGCAGGTCCTTCTGTTTGGGATCCCTGACTTCCCACAACAGCGTGAGCCACACCGCACCTGGCCCATTTTTTTTTTTTTATTGCATGTCACACTGTATTTTACTCATCATTTTGAATGTCTGCCTTTTTAGCCGGGCATGGTGGCGTGCACCTGTAATCCCAGCTATTCAGGAGGCTGAGGCATGGAGAATCACTTGAACCCAGGAGGCGGAGGTTGCATTAAGCCGAGATCGTGCCACTGCACTCCAGCTTGGGCAACAGAGCAATACCCACTAGTGTGTAGGTTCACCAAATTGTTATTGAACATGTTTTTCTTTATATTCCCTGCCTATGACATTGCCTACATTGGTTTAACTACTTAAACCAATATTTAAGTAGTTAAATATTGGTTGAGTGAATATTGAATGACATCAAGTAGAATTTTCATAAATCTAAGTAGTTAAATATTTGTTGAGTGAATATTGAATGACATCAAGTAGAATTTTCATAAATCTCATGAAAATATAAATTTGAATTTGTGAAATTCATATCAATACAGATTGGATAATTATTGGGATGAGCGAATGAGTGGGCAGGGCAAAACAGCAAAGATGGAGCCCTCAGTACAGTAACATATTGAGGGGGCCCAAGGGTGCTCTGGCAAAGGTGAGGGGTCCAAGGAGGAGGAGAGAACAGGGTCAAAGGGAAAGAGAAGAGCCAAGGTAGAGTATGACAGTGCCAAGTAGGGAATGAAAATGCCTGTTGGACTTGGTGATGAGGGGGTGGCCTGGGACCCAGGGAAGAGCCCATTTAGTGCTGAGAGAAATATGCTGTGAGCAGAAAAGTGAAGGAGAAGCAAGCAAGTGAAGACTTTTAAGTACAGACTGTCGTTTCAACAAGGTCAGCTTTGAAGGAAAAGAAAGAAAGAATAAGAACCCAGAAGAAGCATGTGGTTTAACAAGAAAAAGACTTGAGTGTATCTAAAAGAGCAGACAGGTGTCCACTGCAGTGGGAGAAACTAAAGAGAGGCAAAAGTTGAATGGAAAGGAGCCTGTAGAACACAATGATTTGCAAACTCCAGATCTTGTTCTTTCCAGATTTTCTTGGATATTGCTGCCAGATTAATCTGCCATTTAGTCCTCTCATCCTGTCCAAGTCAAGAGGAGAAAGTATTGACTGAGTGCTGTGCCCAGCTCTTCCGCAGCCAGCGTCTCACTGGCTTGACACAAAACGTCTATGGGTAAGTACTGTTACTCGTCTTATGGTGGAAGAAATTGGCTCTGAAAGGTGAAATAGCATGTCAGAATTTGAACACATATCTTTTGTTTTGTTGGTTTTTTACTTTAATGGTAAAGAGTTTAATGGTAATTCTTGCCTTCTTCCCTTGCCCTGCTGTGAATTCTTATTTCCTACTATATTTAGTAAAACTAGAAACTTCTATATCCTGGCCTAATTTTCTTTTCAGCATAATTTCTTCTTTTTGTACTAAAGTTTTGTCCAGTTGAAAGCTCTGTTAGATTTTTGCTCCTGTTTTACAAAAGATGAATAGAAATTGCAAATCCAGAAGTGCTGTCCCTGGTGCCAGTATTATCATTGTAAACTAGCTAATGTTGAGAAAAGATAGAAATTATTAGTAATGTGGAAAGCAGTGACTTTTAGCCTCTCATTAGTGGTAGTTAGATTTAAATCATGTAATGATGTTCGGTTATGAATGAAACAAAAATTAAGAACATGCATAAAGTATTAGAAACCTACTATCAAAGATTATGTGTAAAAATACAGTTGGGGATTCTAGAATCTTTTTAGCTCTCCGGGAAGCCACCCTAACCATCCCTAAACATGGAAGCCTGCTGTCTGTGTTTCACACATGATTTTGAAAAATGTGGGCAGGTGTGGTGGCTCACACCTGTAATTTCAGCACTTTGGGAGGCCCAGGTGGGCGGATCATGAGGTCAGAAGATCAAGACCATCCTGACCAACATGGTGAAACCCCACCTCTACTGAAATACAAAAAATTAGCCGGGTGTGGTGTTGTGCACCTGTAGTCCCAGCTATTTGGGCGGCTGAGGCAGAGAATTGCTTGAACCTAGGAGGTGGAGGTTGCAGTGAGCCCAGATCGCGCCATTGCACTCTAGCCTGGTGACAGAGTGAGACTCCATCTCAAAAAAAAAAAAAAAAAATTTTCAGCCGGATGTGGTGGCTCACACCTGTAATCCCAGCACTTTGGGAGGCTGAGGCAGGCAGATCTCTTGAGGTCAAGAGTTCGAGACCGGTCTGGCTAACATGGTGAAACCCCGTCTCTACTAAAAATACAAAAATTTGCCAGGCATGGTAGCACACATCTATAATTCTGGCTACTTGGGAGGCTGAGGCACAAGAATCACTTGAACCCAGGAGGCGGAGGTTGCGGTAAGCCGAGATCACACCACTGCACTCCAGCCTGGGCAACATTTCAGAGATGTACTGGGTAACTACTACTCTGTGTATATGTATGTGTGTCCATGTAAACATATGTGTATACATGTATAGAAACACACAGAGAATTTATATAGTTAGAGTCTTTACCTGCATGCTCACATGAGCCTCACTGATGTTTAACATGTACACATATCTTTGCTTCCATTACTAGGAAAACTGATCTAAAATACTATAATGAGTGTAGAAGTATTCAAAAAGGTCATTCTTCCTTAAATAAGACAGGCCCACTGCTGCCCCAGGGCCTCAGCACTGGCTGTTACCCTGTCTGGGAAGCTCTCCCTTAGATAGTCCTATGACTTCCTATCTTAGTCCCCCGAAGTCTTGGTTTAAATGTCACCTTTTCAGTGAGGCCTTTCCTTATGACCCAGTTTAAAATTGTAGACCTTTCCTCTCACCCATCATGTTCCCTATATCCATTTAAATGCTTTTATTGTTTTTCTATAAGGTATACCACTTAAAATACTAAGGATTTTCTTACTATCTTCCTTTCTCTTGCTAAAATATGTTTCATAAGGGCAGACATTTTTTCTGTTTATTGCTATATCCTGAGCACCTAGAACAGTACCTGGGGCTTGATAAGTATTTATTGAATGAATGATTTATCATGTTCAAAAAATCAGTTTGACTGCTATATGGAGAGAATGCATTGTAGGGTAGCAAGAGTTTAAATAGAAAATCCAGACAGATGGGTATAGAAATAGTCTAGTTGGGTGTTAGGAGTAGCTTAACTGTTACCCAGAGGATGGAAGAAATATAAAAGGAGAAAAGAAATAAATCAACTTGCCCTTTTCAGGAAGCATGGGACCTGCTTGCTGCCCAGTCACATCCCACACACCAATACTGTGCAAGCTCCCAGCCTCTGCTATGGCTTTTGCCAGCCATATGTACTAAGGGGTCTGTGACAGACCAGACACCTCGGTCTGGAGACGCTTGTTTGTGTGTTGATGAGTATCAAAGTTATATAAATCCTATAAGTTAATGAGGGAAGGCAGAAAAAACATTCCAAGCCATTAAGGGAGTATTGAGTATTTCTAGTATTATTACTCAAAAGTCTTGTTTAGGCAAAAAGGAAAGGCAGAGAGAACTGTATGTTGCTTAATGTAAAATATTAATAATGGTAATGATAACAGCTAATAAATCACTGGATCTTTATTACATCCAAGCATAATGCTATGTGCTGTATCAATGAGATAGTAAAATGTCAAGGATCTGAAACATTGTTTAATCCTGGAAGAGCTAGTTTCTGACCTATAATGCTCAGGTTCCAAGCCCACAGTACTCCATCAGTTCTGAGTAAAGCCACCCTAACCAAGCCCACAGCACTCCATCAGTTCTGAGTAAAGCCACCCTAACGATTTTCATTTTGTAGGTAGACAGTTATATAATTTGGGAAAAATTAAGATTTTCCCCCATCTCAGTTGCCATATTGGTCACACTTTTGAAATAACATTAAATAGTAGTAGTAATAGTAAGCACCTTTTCCTTGGTTCTGTTACTAGAGAGAATTCTTTTAGGGTTTTATTTTTATTCTTGGTGCAATGCTAATATTTTTGTTTTTGAATCAGGAATGGATGAAGGATACCAATTGAATACTTCTGAAGCATCCAGCAGGTTGATCATATGACCTATGACCTATTAATATGATAGTAATAGATTCTTAACAGAACCATTCTTTATTTCCTGGATAAATCCTTCTTCGTCCTAGTTATACTCTTGATGTCTAAGCAACCAGCATTGTTTAAAAACATTAAGAGTTCTGGCTCTGATATTACAATGACTTCACAGGGTGGGTCTGCTGGTGACAAATTCTCTTAGTTTTCTTCCATATGAGAATGTCTCTATTTCACCTTCATTCCTGAAAGATTTTTGCTAATACAGAACTCTAGGTTTGTGGTTATTTTCTTTCAGCACTTTGAAATAATTAGTCCACTTCCTTCTGGCATCCATGGTTTCTGATGAGAAATTCAGTTATTCATATTTTTGCCCCACCACCAAGTAGTGTATCAATTTTCCTTGGTTGCTTTCAAGATTATTTTGTGCTTCCATTTTTAGAATTTATTTATGGCTGGGCATGGTGGTTCACGCCTGTAATCTCAGCACTTTGGGAGGTGAAGGCAGGCGGATCACTTGAGGCCAGGAGTTTGAGACCGGCCTGGGTAGAACACAGCGAAACCCTTTCTCTGAGAAAAATACAAAACTACTTGGGTGTGGTAGTGTATGCCTGTAGTCCCAGCTACTTGGGAGGCTGAAGCACGGGAATCACTTGAACCCAGGAGGTGAAGGTTGCAGTGAGCCAAGGTTGTACCACTGCACTTCAGCCTGGGCGACAGAGTGGACTCTATCTCAAAAAAAAAAAAAAAAAAAAATTGATTTTGATGCATCTGGGCATGGATTTCTTTGGGTTGACCCTGTACCTATAGGTTGAAGTCTTTTGTCAAATATAAGTTTTTAGCCATGATTTCTTCAAATACTTTTTCAGCACCAAACATTTTCTCCTTCTGTGGGATGCCAGTGAGACAAATATTAGATCTTTTGTTGCCCCAAACATCCCTGAGGTGCTCTTCATCTGTATTTTTTCTCGGATCTTTTCTGTGTTGTTCAGATTGAATAATTTTTTTTAATCTGTCTTCAAGTTATTTCCTGTTTTCACCCTTCTGCTGTTGAACCTATTTAGCAAGATTTCTATTTTCCGTATCAATAAATAAATGTTTATATATTAAAAATACTGTAGGGTCGGGCGCAGTGGCTCACGCCTGTAATCCCAGCACTTTGGGAGGCTGAGGCTGGTGGGTCATGAGGTTGGGATATCAAGACCAGCCTGACCAACAGAGTGAAACCCTGTCTTTACTAAAAATACAAAAATTAGCTGGGCATGGTGGTGCACACCTGTAGTCCCAGCTACTCGGGAGGCTGAGGTAGGAGAATCGCTTGAACCCGGGAGGTGGAGGTTGCTGTGAGCTGAGATTGCACCAATGCACTCCAGCAGCTTGGGCAACAGAGTGAGACTTCGTCTCAAAACAAAAACAAAAACAAAAACAAAAACAAAACCTGTATATTTTTCACTTCCAGAATTTCCACTTAGTTCTTTTTTATATGCTCATTTCTTTAGAGTGTGTTCACTCTACTTGTTGGAACAAGTAAGGCAGCTGCTTTAAAGTCCTTGTAAGATCATGGTATCATCTCACTTGATGTCTGTTGGTTATCTTTTCCCATGTAAGTTGAAATGTTCCTGGGTCTTTATATTCTCAGTGACTTCAAAAGGCATCATGGGCATTTAGGATGTAATGTTATAAAACTCTATGACTTCTTGAAATCCAAAAGAAAATGTTGATATTTCTGTTTTAGCAGGCAGTCAACCTGGTTGAGCTCAGACTACCAAGTCCAAACAGCTTTCTGTGGGTTGTGGTTTCTATGTCAGTTTAGTTGTCAGAGACTTCACATTGTTGCTTGAATCTTGCTCACGTGTGTCACTCTGTGGCCAATATGGAATTTAAGCAGCAGACCCTCTTATTCTCAGAGTCCATGTATGCTGCTTAGGGGGTCAGATTCAGGCATACGTATCTCACAGGTGAGCCCAGGAGTTCTTAAATAACTTCCAGGGTGATTTTCCCAAATTCTTCCATGTCTGTGTCCGCAGTAGTTTCAGGTTCCCTGTGGCTCTCCTTTTTACTCTTCTGGCTACAATGCAGGGGCCTGTAGTTGCCCCACTTTGCTGTGACTTCCAGTGACTGTCCTTATGCAGAGCCAAGCAGCAGGAAGACA